TTTTCTCAAGCCCCACTTTGCTGGGCTCTTTTATTTCTCAGCTTAAATACCACTTTTTTTTTTTTAAAGATTTTATTTATTTATTTGTCAGAGAGACAGAACACAAGCAGGGGGAGAGGCAGGCAGAGGGAGAAGCAGGCTCCCCGCCGAGCAAGGAGCCCAATGTGGGACTTGATCCCAGGACCCTGGGATCATGACCTGAGCCGAAGGCAGCCGCTTAACCAACTGAGCCACCCAGGCGTCCCTTAAATACCACTTTTTAAGAAAACCTTCCTCAGCCTACCTATAAGGTTTGGTGCCTTCACTCTATGCACCCTTCTTTATCACATTTACCACAATTGTAATTACATAATAATTTGGGGAATTTTTGTTTGTTGTCTGTGTTCCTTACTAGACCCTAAGCTCCACGAAGGCAGGGAATTTTTCTTGTTTTTGCTGTTTTAATCTTAGTGCTTATAACAATACATGGCACATAGTAGGCATTTGTTATTGGTTGGATAAATGAATGAATGAAGGCATCTAAATTTTCCCAAAAGTTAGAAGAAAAAGCCCCTAAAGATATTTCAAAATATTTGTATAATATTTTAGACTATGTATCATAATACAATTGTTTATAATATTTTTATAATTTCCCCGTGTCATTTAAAATATCCTTTGTCTTTGTAACGAATTTATTTCCTGAGTATGTCACTTGCAGGCTAATGTCCAGAAGTAACAATAGCAAAACTAAGCAGCCAAAGCAGGCATTGATGCCTATAAAGGGTAAATTTGTGCCTCTTCAGAAGGTTGTGTACAAGCAAACATACTTGGTGTGACCCAGCTGTACATTCCTGGGAAAAGAATTTGAAGTCAGGATACAAAAAGGGATCATGGCCATTTGCTGTGAATTCCTACAGACACTTTTATCTGTGGGTAATGCATGAATGTATTTCATTTTCTAAGGCACCTCCTCCAATGAAGCTATGTCCAAGATTAACAAGCTCTTCCAAAACGCTACCTTCAGTGATGGAGGATCTCCCCTCTACAAAACAAAGCAATTTCTGCCCAATTAATTTGGAAATCAACAAATACACCAAAAATGATTTTTCAGTTTGCTAAACCAGAGTTACAAGAGCATGGATAACATACTGATTACACAGAGGGGTACCCAGAGACAAGGTTAGACCTCAGTTGCCAGGTACGCTTATTACATTTTCTTGCAAAAATAGTGAAAGGATACTTTTCTTATTGACTGCCACGTTTCTATGTGGCAACCCAAAATGTCTCATTATTATTTTAATGCATTTTTAAGGTATTCTCTGGATCAAAATCTGTGCTTCTGGGTTCTGTGGAGATGCCTTAGGAGTTTTGGGCTTCTTCCACCCCAATGCTCTTCAATCTCAAAACCTCTAATTTTATCCTTAAAACTGTGTGTGTGTGTGTGTGTGTTTGTGTGTGTGTAACTTCATAACATGTAACAGATTCATTGCTGGAGAAAACTGGGAGGAGTAGTTACTGCTAAAAGAAGGTTGGAAAACACTACACCAGTCTGGAACTAGTAGAAGTTAGTTCCAAGTGTTACCTGTTTATATATAGTCCCTTTGTAATTACAGAGATATTGTGTCCAGATTTCCCAGTGTCCAGGTCATTCCAACTGCATTTCCAACTGCCTATTGGATATCGTCCCTCGGTCTCCTCAGACTCAAATCATCAACCTCCGCCATATGTCAGCCACATCTTCCATTTTCTTAGTCCTTGCCAGTGACCCCAATATTCTCTCAGGTACCCGGCTTCAAACATGTGGACTAACATTTTTTACTCATCCTTCCTATCCAGTCAGCCACCAAGTTTGGCTTGATTTCTTTTCTTCTAAATCTTGCTCACTCACAACTTCTCTCTGCTTTCCCACTGCCCCCATTCAAATCCGATCAGAACATCTGATGCCTGGGATATCTTCCACAGCTTCCTAAGCAGCTTACTTGCTTCATTCTTTTCAAGTCTAACTCATCCTTCCAGACTAATTCTACTTAAATGCTCCCTTTCATCTTGGTACTTCCCTATACACAACCTTATAAATGGTTTCCAGATCGTTTTGCAACCAAATCTGAACTATTCTGTTTTGCTTTCAAGGCTCTGCAAAATCATCTGGCTCTACTGTCTTTTCAGGTTAGGTCAGTCTCCTCCCTGTCATGTAAAAATATTACTCTTCCAGCGTCTGTGCCTTTATATGAATGTGTTAAATTGACCTGGCCTAAAAGGACCCATCCGTCTGTATATTTCTTCAATGTTTTCTCTCGTCTTTGCTCACTTGTTACCCCATGTCCTTCACATAGCCAAGTACTTGCGGTTCCTTGAAAACACTTGTCTTTAGACCTATGCACTTGCTTCCTTCTCCACCCTTGGTCTCTTCAAACTAAAGTCACCTCCTTTGTGAATGCTTCCTTTCTCCAGCACTCGAGGCAAAATAATCACATCTTCCTTTGAGCTGCTGTTGTGTTCTATACATACTTCTGTTATAGCTCTTATCATACAATGTCGCAACATTTTGATTACATGCCTGCTTGATTGCTCTTTTAGATTGTGAGCTACCCTCTCAGAATAATTTTAGACTTGGTTTCAAAACAAGGTCTTTGACCTCCAATAGCTCACAGTTGTTTTTATTCCCAGTGAGTCACTTTCGTAATTCAATAGGTATTTGTTGAATGAATGAATGAATGAATAAATGAGTAGATTTCTTCCTAAATCCTCTCACTCCTTCTCACCCTACATGTCTGAAGCCTTCTTTGATCTTTCTAGTCCTCCATCCCTTCTCTGAAGACTGAGAGTTCTTATGGCTTTGTACTATACAAATTTGGATGATTCCTTTAACTGAATCACAAGCTCCTTGAGGGCAGGGACATGTCTTATATTGTCTCTGTCATTGCAATAATCAAAGTGCAGAGCACATAGTAAAAATATATTTGCTGTCCAGTTAATTAGAGTTATGTAAACTCTGGGCTTAGGACAATAATGACAGCTAATAGAAAATTCTAAACTTTTTGTAATATAATTGCTGCCATAAATTAAGTACTAATTCATTCAGAAAATATTTAGTGAATACCTAAGAATTTCCTGGCACCAAACCAGTGGTAGGAAAACAGGCATGAATTCTATCAGGAAAGAAATTCTTCCAGGTAAAATTAGTATTGTTACATAGAAGCTGTTTACATTTTTTCTCACCTTAAAATTTGTAAATTTGTATTTGGTTGATTAAGTAGTTTTTGAGTGACCATTAGATTACTTTTTTGGGGGGGGGATGGGTATCTTATAATTCTTCCCGGCGAATTTTTCTCACGGGAACACTGAATTCTTTTTTGTATCTGAGATTGTCACAGTCAAGAAATGGGGAGAATCAGTCCTGAATGATCTGGTCTAGTTTTTGTGGTTTTTTGGGGTCCATTCTATGTTCAGAAATTAGTGGGTTGGACAAGACTAATCTAAGTAAGTTGTGTGTATACTATAACTTGAGTACTCACCAGCTTACCTAGACTGACCAGATGTCACTGAGTGATTTCCATCAGGGTGCTGTGATGATATCTCACCAGCATTACCAACCAGACTCCTAGAGAGTGTCATCAGGCATGCTTAGAATAGAAGGGTAGATAGGGGCGGCTGGGTGGCTCAGTCGTTAAGCAACTGCCTTCGGCTCAGGTCATGATCCTGGAGTCCCGGGATCGAGTCCCGCATCGGGCTCCCTGCTCGGCGGGGAG